TTGATTCACTCCACAACAAATCTTCCGTATTTGTCCACTTTTTATCAAATTCCAGGGCCTTGTTGTTTTTTATGGCTGAGTAGTATTCCATGGAGTGTATGTGCCACACTTTTTCAATCCATTCATCTGTTCATGGACATTTGGGTTGATTCCATGTCTTAGCAATTGTGAATAAGGCTACAATGAATATAGATGTGCAAACACTTTTCCAACTGAGCGTTCTTCTGTTCTTTGGGGAAATATTTTTTTAAGAGAGATTTTTGCTATAGGGCACGTGTGCTCACTAAAGAGATAGAGAGAGAAAGAAAGAAAGCAAGAGATCACCCCCCAGGGGAATGACCACACCACAACCCTTTCTCCTCCATTTTCCTCTCAGGATCTTGGGCACACATACACATGTGCCCAGTGTGAGATTCAAGCCGCTGGGTCTGGTCTACTATGTGGGAGTCCAGAGACGTAACCATTAGCCCATCTGCTAGTCCCACAGCATGGAGAAGTGTTTAATAGTCAAATAAAGACTGAATATATTGAAGACGCACAATATGATGATTTGCTATACATATACATTGCGTAATGACTGTCCCACTCAGATTTATTAACACAGCCACCTGTATTCATGCTGCACATCAGAGTCCCAGAACTTTTCATCTTTTTTTTTTTTTTTTGAGAGGTTTTTGCTGTAGGGTGCATGCGCTCACCAGAAAGACAAGGAGAGACAAAGAGACAGAAAGCGAGAAATCACTCCGGGGGTTGGGGGGGGGAATGGCCATGCTGCAATCCCTTCTCCTCCATTCTCTTCTCGGGGTCTGGGGCACACATGCACACGTGCCCAGCATGAGTTTAAGCCACAGGGTCCAGGACTCAAACCGCGGTTGACTACATGGGAGCCCAGCGACATAGCCATTACATCATCTGTGGGTTCCCCTAAACTAATAATTTTTAAATTGTTTAAAAAGAAGTACACAAATTAAATCCTTCTTTTCTTTATTCACAATAGAGCATATCCGCACATGAGGGGGTGGGACACCTCCACCAGGTCTGTTCATACCAAGATCCCCTTCCTGCCTCCAGTCACATGTGTTTGGCATGTTTCAGGTTTACCAGGCCAGGGATTCAAACCATGATCACTATGTGTGATGCAGCCTCTCTTGAGCAGCGCATTGTCGCTGCATCATGGACTAGCCCGTGCCAGACTCCAGGGGGACATTTTACTGTCTGTTTCACATGACTGCTTCTAAGTTTTGCTATCTTACCTCTTTTAAGTGTTTGCTTAGGTGTCACCTCAGAAAGGCCTTCCTGATTCCAGTGTTTTAAATTGTTGCCTCCTGCAACTGGCAAGTGGTGTGGTGGTTGAGGGTGCTAGCCTCCCACATGGCTGACTGTGGTTTGAGTCCCAGACCTGGTGACTTGCTTTCTAACTTTCTTTCTCTTTCTCTCCCACTTTGGTCAAATTAAAAATAAGTGAATGAATAAATAAAGTTAAATAAAGTCATTAAAACAATTGTTGCCTCCTCATTCCTCCTTTATTTTTCTCTCTAGAATTTATCACTACCTGATACACTTAGTCAGTTTATTTTAGTTTAAAAATGTTTAATTTAATTATTAAATTAATTATTATGTTTTAAAATTTGCTGTAGGACACATGTGCTCACCAGAGAGAGACACAGAGAGAGAGAGGGAAGGTGAGAAGGTGAGCCGCCAGGTCTGGGGCTTGAACCATGATTGGCCATGTGGGAGTCCAGAGCCTTAACCACCATACCACCTGCTGGCCCCAATTAATTGTCTTATTTAAGATCTATGTACCCACACTAAAATGTCAATGCTTTGGGCTGCCCTGTAGCCTAATGGTTAAGGGAGCCTGGATTCCACTTGGCCTACCTTGGTTTGAATCCTGGACCCAGAAGCTTGAGGAGTACACCAGGCATATGTGCACGGGTGTGCATGAGTGCTTAAAATACCAACAGGATGGAGAAATGGAGAAGGGATTGCAGCATGCTCACACCCCATTCAGGGGTGCTTTCTCTCTCTTACTGACTCTCTCTGTGAATGCAAATGCCTTCTAGCAATTAAAAATAAAATCAAATGGGCCCAGCAGGTAATGTGGTGGTTGAGGTGTAGATTCCTACATGGCCAACCATGGTTCAAGTCCTGGACCTGATGACTTTAAAATCACACTAGGGGTGTGTGTGAGTCTTAGACCTGGTGGCTTGAATTTCACTCTAGGAATATGTGCGTGCATGCCCAAAATCCTGAGAGGAGACTGGAGAAGGGATTGCGGCATGGCCATCCCTCTGGGAGGTGATTTCTCACCCTCTCTCTCTCTCTCTCTCTCTCTCTCGTGAGTGTATATGCCTTGAAGAGAAAAAAAAAAGATGTAAGTGCTTTCCTGTATTTATGTCTGCCTCTCGTTTTACTTTGTAGAGGTTTTAAATATGACGTGGTTATGTAGTTGTCTCACCTTTCACAGCTTTCAGGCTTTGGGTCTTCCTTCTCCAAGACTGGAGTATTTTATATTATATCTATATTTTATATATATAGATATAATATAGATATATATATAGAGAGAGAGAGAGCACCCCCAGGAGAGATGCCCATGCCGCAGTCCCTCCTCCATGTCTCCATCCTGCCGGTATCTGGGGCAAGCATGCACACATGCCAGGCGTGTCCTTCCACCTCCAGATCTGGAACTCATATTGCACAGTCGGCTGTGTGGGATCCAGTTACCTTAACCAACATACCACTATCTGGACTCCTATTAATTAATCTTAAAAATTTGCCAAGGGCCTGTATGTTCACTGGAGAGAGACACAGAGAGAGTGGGGAAGAGGGAAGGGAAAGAAAGAAAAAGCACTGCCCTTGGGGAAAGGTCATGCCACAATCCCTTCTCCTATGTCTCTTTCTCCTTTCAGGATTTTGATCATGCACATGTGCCTGGCGTGTTTCTCAAGACACTGGGTCTGGGACTCCAACTGTGCAGTGGGTCAGGCCATGGACTGGCCCTGCAGACATTTTAAAAATGTATTTTTCTTCTAGTTTTCTAGATTTTTTCCCCCTTGAAGAGCTTTACTTTATCTAAGCAATTATTTCTGTGTCAGGTAACTTAGGAATCAAACTTCAGGTTTTCTTTTTCTTTTCCTTTTTTTTTTTTTTTTTTTTAGGGTTTTTGCCATAGTGCGCATGTGCTCACTGGAGACAGAAAGGGATTCTCCTCCTGGGACTTTGGAAACGCATTCACACTCACCCAGTGTGATCTTCAAGCTGCCATATCCAGGACTTGAACCACACTTGGCCATGAGGGAATCCAGTGCTTTAACCACCACACTGCCTGCTGATTCCCTCAAATTTTATTTATTTTTTCCAAAATGATAACCAAATGTCTATATTTTCTTCAGATATCGTTTGTGTTTTTCCCAACCAGCATTTTGGTAGTTCTTATCCAGAAAAATATTCTTTACTTGTGTAATTCATTTGGCATTTCTTTATTTCTTATTTGTCATACAAAGCTTGATCTTGGTCTGCAGAAACATTTAGCACAGGACTGAGCACACATGAGGGCAGAATTTGTGGAAGAGCGACTGGGGACAGTTACCCATGTACCTGGGCTGTTGGGCAATGAAGCCCTTGTGGGCGGGCACGGCACAGTTGGAGGGGTTAAGAGGTTATACAGTCTAGTGTCAAACTTTGCTTGATCAGTGGAGAACTTTCAAAATAAAAATTATGGGGGTCAGTGAGCGGTATAGTGGTTAAAGCGCTGGACTCCCATATGGCTGACTGCAGTTCCATTACTGGAATGAGGTTTGAGACTCATGCTCGCATGTGTGCGCGGGCCCCCAGGGTTCCCAGGGAAGAATGGAGAAAAGATTGCAGCATGGCCACTCCCCCTGGAGGGTGATTTCTCACTTTCTCTGTCTCACTGTCTCTCCAGCAAAAAAAAAAAAAAAAAATTATACGGGTACCAGCAGTTAGTGTAATGGCTATGTCGCTGGACTCCCATGTAGTCAAGCGTGGTTCGTGTCCCAGACCCAGTGGCTTAAAACTCACGCCAGGCGCGTGTGCGTGCGTGCCCAAGAACCCAAGAGGAGAATGGAGGAGGAGGGATTGCGGCGTGGCCATCCTCCCTGGGGGATGATTTCTCATTTTCTGTCTCTGTCTCTCTCTGTCTGGCGTGCACACGTGCCCTATAGCAAAAACCTCTCAAAAAAACAGAACAATTATGTACATGTGCATACACATGTGTAAATAAAACCACTTTAAGGCTGCTCTTAGAAAAAATTTCTGGAACTGTGGCTTTCCTTTTCTATTCCGAAATGATGGTAAAATTGCAGACATTTTATTGTTTATTTTTAAAAGAATTATTCCATTTAACTTTATTTGTTTGTTTGTTTTAATTCGACCAGAGAGGGACAAAGAAAGAGAGAAGAGAGAGAGAGGGAATGTGAGAAAGCAAGCCGCCACCAGGTCCAGGACTGGAGCTGCTGTCCACCATGTGGGAGTCCAGCGCCCTTAACCACCACGCCACCTTCTGGCCCTGACATTTTATTGTTTATGATGCCCCAAAGTCAAGGAAACACTCAACAGTAGCATTGCTCCTCGATCCAGTCCGCTGGTGTGCTACGGGGTCTGGAGGACTCCGCGGTGAGGACAGGCCAGGGGGCCTGTTTAGCTGGGGAGGCCGACGTTCCTGGAACACTCACGTTGTATTAACTACAGCGGGGTTCGCGGCAGGAAGGCAGGGTGACAGGTATGGCATATTGCATAGACAGAAATTAGGATTGGCCTAGGGACACACCGTCCCCGCTGTCACAGGGGAGTCCTCCAACTAGACTTGCAGGGCCCGCGCCGACGGGGCGGGGCGTCCAGCTCCGCTCCCTCTTGCCCCCCAGCCGGTCCCCTGCAGCGGCTGTGGCAGCTGCCCTGCAGCTGTGGAGGGGCGAGGCCGGAGCGGGGCCGCAGGTGTCCCGGCGGGGCGGGGCCGGAGCGGCCTGGCGGAGCGGAACGTTTACGCCCGCGGCTGCGTTTCCGGCCGGAGGCTTTTGCTGAATGCTCGCCCCTGGGGGGCGGGGGCGGCAGCGGCGGCGGCGGCGGAGGCAGCTTGGGGTCCGGAAGTCAACACTATGTCGAGTCTGCACAAGAGCCGGTAAGGGACGACTGGGGTCGGCCTGGCTAGACGGTCCCTGACCAGGCCGTCCCTTTTGCCCCCAGAGTGGGGGAGCTCAGGTGCGGCCTCATATCAGGAACCCCCTGACAGAGGGCCTCGGGCGCCCACTTTTAAGACCTCAGTGCTTGTGGGCTGGAGGGAGGACCGAGCGGAGTCACCTCTCCTGCCCCCGGGGAGTCACCCTTTCTCTGTCCCTCATCCTGGACCCCACGTTTCCCTTTCCCCGTGGTGTCTTCCTCACTCAGAGCTTGATGCCCCGCCCCCGCCCCTTCCCCCTTTGAACTCCCTGCCCTAGTACCCTCCTTTCTCCTAATGCTCCCGGTCCCCCTGCCCTTTAGTTACTACAAATGCTGGAGAACCTCGGTTCTTCAGCCTGTCCCCTCCCCCAGGCCAGACCCCGCGGCAGTAGCTAAATTGTGCTCACTCTTCAGTTTTCCTCCAGGACTTGCTTTTTAAACCTTTCATCCCTGCCTGTGGCAGGCCCTGCAGTTTTGTATTAGATTTGCTCGGAGAGCTGCTGCGGATTACACAGCTCCTTTGCCTGTGGATCACGTTACTGCTGGCTCTCGGGGTTCAATGGGTTCAGGTCATGCTGCCCTGTGCTGTGGGCTGGGCCTGGCCAGCAGGAAGTGCCCAGCAAATGCCAGCGCACCCAGTTAGAATATGTCTATTCTTGTGCTCCTTGGAGAAACACTAGACAAGAATATCTCTCAAGTGTCTTCACTGGCGTTTTATGTTTCTGCTTAGAGGAAGACGTGATCTCTAGTTCTGTAGTCTCCAAAGCTGCCTTGGGAAGGACCTTGTCGGTGCGTTGCCATCTGACTGTCCTGAAGGGGCAGAAGTTGAAGGCTGGTGTGGGGGAGCTGAGCTGAGGGTTGCAGACTTGGTCACTAAGTCTGTCACTGTGGGGTTTGGGTGTGTTTCATCTGCCTCCCTCTCCCTCTTTCTAGGATTGCAGATTTTCAGGATGTCCTGAAGGAGCCTTCGATTGCATTGGAAAAGCTACGGGAACTCAGTTTTAGTGGTAAGAGGCAACTCTGCACTTTCAGGGTTTCTCTAGAGCAGCCTTGTGGCTCTGCTGGGGGGAGGATGCCCAAAGCCACACCTGTCAGTTCTGGAGCCTTCTCGGGATTCTGTAGAGCACAGCGTGCAGTGACCACTGTGACCGTGGAGGTTTTCCTGGAGGAGAGGTGGCCACAGTGAGCATGCCGGTAGGCCATAACAGGGAGGCCCCAGGTTCCGGAGCATAACTCGAGAGAACTGAAGCCGAGAGGAAAGTGGGGAGGAGACCTTTTGAGCCTAGGTCGAGTCTTTTCTCATTCCTTAACTAGCTTCCTGTCTTCGGGAACTAGGTTAGCTGCTGGGTGGTTCCTAGTGCTTCTTCTGGCTTGAGATCAAAGCTGACTGTGAGGGGACAGTGAACTTTGGTTAATGCTAAAAATTTCAGTCTCGAGAAGCTGCCTTTTAAGTTACTGAACTTTGGCAGTGTTTGACTTTGCTCTTCCTGGCAAGGTTAATCTTCCAGGGCAGAGATAAGTCCCTTTTGTCCATCATTTAAAGCACTCCAAGGTGTTCCAGGTAGCTTCTTTTTTTTTGGGTGGAGGGTGAAGTTTTTGCTATAGGGTGCGTGTGCTCACCAGAAAGAAACAGAGAGAAAGTGAAAAGTCACCCCCCAGGGGGGATGGCCACGCCGCAATCCTTTCTCCTCAATTCTCCTCTTGGGATCTTGGGCACGCGTGCACACATGCCCAGTGAGTTAAAGCCACTGGGTCTGGGACTCGAATTGCCTTAGTCCCCTCTGCATTTCTCCATTTTCTTGGGATTTGGGGTATGCATGCACACACGGTCGGTGTGCTTCTTAAGTTGCTGGGGCTGAGATTCACTTCGCACAATCAGCCATGTGAGATCTGGTTCCTTTCATTGTTAGGCCATGGAGCCAGCCCTTCTGTGCAGATTCTGAGGGGGCATTAGCTTGTGTTCATGGTTCCAGGGACACCGATACCGTAGCAACAGCTATTTTAGAGAGGTTCCTGACAATATTGCAGGAGAAGTTTGTCTTTCTGCTCAAGAATGATATCTAGACCCCAAAAGGGGGGCAGTCTGTGGTAGTGGTTCAGCCTCAGGCCAGTCTGCGTAGCCTGGCAGTTACTTCAGCTGAATCTCATATGGCTGACCATGCAGTTTGAATCCTAGGCCTAGCGGCTTTGAAAACCACACCAGGCGCATGTTGGTGTGTGCCCAAGATCCTGAGAGGAGGGGGAAGTGGAAGAGAAGGGATCGTGGCATGACTAGTCACATGGGGATAGTCTCTCCCCTTTCCTCTTTTCTCTATCTCTAATGAGCGCTTGTACCCTCTGGTAAAATAAAAAAAGTTTTAAAGAATTATTTATTTAATTTTCTTTATTATTATTCTTTAATCTGACCAGAGAAAGGGGGAGAGAGAGAGGGAGACAGGAAGCTCCCAGGTCTGGGACTTGAACCATGGCAGCCATGTGGGAGTACAGTGCCTTAACCACCATACCACCTGCTCGTCCTCCCTTTGGTAAAATTTTAAAAAGTGAAATGAAGAGTTTGGGCTCTAGGGTCACACCTGTGTTAGAGGTTTAAGGCCTTGGTTGCTCCAACTTTGCAGATATATTTCCTTATTTGTAAGGTGAGGACGGTGGTGCCCATCTCTCCTTCTGGGCTTATAACGAGGATTAAATGGAATAATGCTGTAAATTCCTTAGCACGCCACACTCATAGTTCCCATCCCACAGATACTCCTGGAATACCTCTGCGTGCCATTCCCTGTGCTCAGAGCTGGGAATAATACTCAGATGTGGTTCTTGTTTCTGGGATTGCCTGTAGTCGGGGTTATAGACGTTCAGTACACGTGTTCGGAATCCCTCTGGTGGATGCTTGGAGTCACAGAGCTGTGACTGCTTACCACCGGGGCAGCTGACTGTGGCTGGGAAGAGAGAGTGGTTGGTGAAGGCTTCTCTGAGGAAGAAACACTAAAAATGAGAAGGACAAGGTGTCCCCTTGAAGGAGCATTCCAGGCGGGAACTAGGGCTGGGCCACAGACAGAAAGCACACACAGCATGAGCATCCAGTGTAGTGGCCCTTCTGGGAAGTGATGCTTGAAGAAGTACTTCTTGCCCACCCTGCTCCCTGCCAGCTGGCTCCTAGGTGGAGGGCTGGGGGTTCTGGGACTCTGGCCTGGGGCGTGACCTTTGCCTGCTGTGTCCACAGGCATCCCCTGTGAGGGCGGACTGCGGTGCCTCTGCTGGAAGGTGGGTGTGGTGGGTGTGCCTGGGGTGGGACTTCCGCTCTGCTGAGAGTCCCTGGGTTCCTGCATGGGCCACCCCCACCCCGGCCCCTTCCTGTTCTGCACCTTTCCTTGCTTATCTGAGGAAGCTTTCTGGGACGCTCTGGGTCTTCTGTTCCTCTTGGCATCCCCTGCAAGATCCCTTTGGAGATGGGACACTGTGATGCCGTTGAAGACCTCTGCCTGCTGGTCCTTATGGTGTTGTGGAAGTGACATTTGTGGGGGTGAAACAGGCTGTGCTTTGCCCCAAGTGCTTAGTCGGGGTGGCAGTGGGAGCCTGGCATCCTGGTTCCAGCCTTGTGAAGGGTTTATTAGCATTTGGAAAAGGCTATGTGAGGGGGAGCAGAGCAGAAGGCGAAAGGAGAGGGCTAAAAGAGGTGGAGGTGGGAGTAGGGGAGCTACCCCTCACTTGTACCCCTGTCCCTGGGCCAAAGCCCACTTTGTCTTACCTGGGCTTTTGAGAGTTTTTTTGAGGCCCATCAGCCTCTACCTACTATCCAGGGTGGGGCCAGGGAATCCCCAGAGCCGTGCCCTCTCCTTCTGTGCAGATTCTCTTGAACTACCTCCCCTCGGAAAGAGCCTCATGGACTTCCATCCTGGCCAAGCAGAGGTGAGGAGCGGGGGTGGGAGAACTTCGTATTGGGCAGAACCGTCTCGCCTCCTGTTGCAGTTTCTCCATGGGGCTCCCTGGGCAAGGCCTGTGGGAATCACTTCTCTGCTTTTCTCTCCGTAGAGAGCTTTATGCCCAGTTCCTGAGGGAAATGATTATCCAGCCTGGCATCGCCAAGGCCAATATGGGGGTGTCCAGGGAGGATGTGACCTTTGAGGACCACGTGAGTAGAGATTGGCAGCAGGACAGAATGGGCAGGGGTGAGGACTGTGGAGCAGGCAAGGTCACCCCGTGCCAGAGGACAGGAGCAGGTCCCCTCCAGCCCGTCCAGTGCTTTTCTGTGTTTGGTTGCTCTTCCCTGAAGACAGTTGTCTCTCCCCGCTTCTCCCAGGCCCAGCCTTATCTCGGGCAGTGGGCCCAGGCTGTAATGCAAATGGTAGTCAGTGTCCAGGGAGTGCTGTGTGGCCAGCCCTGTGCGGGGTGCTCCGAGGGCACGGGCTCCTTCAGCTCCCGCCTGCATTCCTGAGGAAGGAGCGTGATCGCATGGTTGAAGACAAGCAGAGCAGGGTACCAGTGATGCCTGTCTTCCTGTGCCTGCAGGAGGCCTCGTTCTCCCTTCAGCCAGAGCCCCTCCCCGTGTGCCTCGCCTTGCAAGGAGTAGAGGAGGGTTGGCCCCAGACCCGCCCTCCATGGGCCTCACTTGATGACTAAAGCTTTGATGAGTGAGATTGGAAGGACCTGGTGATACAGCGTTCATTCATGTGCCCGGTTGCTCACCCAGCATGTAGCGAGCAGCTGTCAGAAAGAGCAGGCCCTGCCCCACGAAGTGCACTTGGAGCAGACTACAGGGCGCAGTTGCTGGCTACGCAGCTCGAACGTAGGAGGGGAGGCTGTGGGCAGGCCTGTGCTGGCTCCTCTGTGTGACTTTGGGCCGTCTAAGTGCCACAGCTGGGTCTGTGGCCGGGTTGGTGATGGGAGGTCACTGGTCACCTCCAGGCTAAAATCTGCCCATGGGCCCCTAGTCAGACTTTGCACAGAGCAGCTTCTTGTCTCCCCACAGCCACTCAACCCGAACCCCGATAGTCGGTGGAACACATACTTCAAGGACAATGAGGTACTGCTGCAGATTGACAAAGATGTCCGGTAAGCAGGGCACACAGGGCTGGAGCTGGGCCCTGGGACTTCTGGGGGGTTCCTAGCTCTGGCCTTCCCGTTATCAGCCCAGGCCCACAGGGTGGGTGTTGGAGGAGCTGCTGGTGGTTGTCTGGGTCCTTGGGTCCAGGCCCCAGTGATGATGGGTCTGGAGAGGGGCTGAGGAGTGGGTGGGGATTCTGGGCTTGCACAGTTCAGCCCTCCTGTCCACAACGTAGTTTTATGTGTACCTGTGGCATTTGTGGATTCATCTTCATTCATTCAGTACCTACTGAGCCTCTCCTGTATGCCAGACTCAGAACTAGCACTGAAGAAACGGATGTGGTTTCTCTCCTTAAGGAGTTTAGAGCCTGGCAGGGGAGCATGGCAGGACAGATATTCAACCATTAGCTCTTTTTAAAATTTTTAAGAATTATTTATTTAACTTTATTTATTCTTTTTAATTTGACCAGAGAGAGACAGAAGGAGAAAGAGAGAGAGAGTGGGAAAGCAAGCCACCAGGTCCAGGACTTGAACCATGCTCAGCTATGAGGGTTGGCCCCAGACCCGCCCTCCATGGGCCTCACTTGATGACTAAAGCTTTGATGAGTGAGATTGGAAGGACCTGGTGATACAGCGTTCATTCATGTGCCCGGTTGCTCACCCAGCATGTAGCGAGCAGCTGTCAGAAAGAGCAGGCCCTGCCCCACGAAGTGCACTTGGAGCAGACTACAGGGCGCAGTTGCTGGCTACGCAGCTCGAACGTGGGAGGGGAGGCTGTGGGCAGGCCTGTGCTGGCTCCTCTGTGTGACTTTGGGCCGTCTAAGTGCCACAGCTGGGTCTGTGGCCGGGTTGGTGATGGGAGGTCACTGGTCACCTCCAGGCTAAAATCTGCCCATGGGCCCCTAGTCAGACTTTGCACAGAGCAGCTTCTTGTCTCCCCACAGCCACTCAACCCGAACCCCGATAGTCGGTGGAACACATACTTCAAGGACAATGAGGTACTGCTGCAGATTGACAAAGATGTCCGGTAAGCAGGGCACACAGGGCTGGAGCTGGGCCCTGGGACTTCTGGGGGGTTCCTAGCTCTGGCCTTCCCGTTATCAGCCCAGGCCCACAGGGTGGGTGTTGGAGGAGCTGCTGGTGGTTGTCTGGGTCCTTGGGTCCAGGCCCCAGTGATGATGGGTCTGGAGAGGGGCTGAGGAGTGGGTGGGGATTCTGGGCTTGCACAGTTCAGCCCTCCTGTCCACAACGTAGTTTTATGTGTACCTGTGGCATTTGTGGATTCATCTTCATTCATTCAGTACCTACTGAGCCTCTCCTGTATGCCAGACTCAGAACTAGCACTGAAGAAACGGATGTGGTTTCTCTCCTTAAGGAGTTTAGAGCCTGGCAGGGGAGCATGGCAGGACAGATATTCAACCATTAGCTCTTTTTAAAATTTTTAAGAATTATTTATTTAACTTTATTTATTCTTTTTAATTTGACCAGAGAGAGACAGAAGGAGAAAGAGAGAGAGAGTGGGAAAGCAAGCCACCAGGTCCAGGACTTGAACCATGCTCAGCTATGTGGGAACCCAGCACCTCAATCACCATGCCATGTGTTGGCCCCTCAACCATTAGCTCTCACATACTGGTTTATTCTCTGTTGCTTAATAATGGAATACCAAAGATTAGGACATTTATAGAGAGCAGAGGTTTAAGGCCAGCCAGTGGTGTGGTGGTTAAGGCAGCTGGATCCCACAGGGTTAACTGTGCAGTTCGAGTCCCAAAACCCTGCTGCTTGACACATGTATCTGGTGTGTGTATGTGCTTGCATGCCCAAAACCCTGAGAGGAGAATGCAGAGGGATTGCAGCATGGCCATCGCTCTGGGGGTGCTTTCTCACTTTCCCCACTCTCAAGAGAGGAGAAGGAAGAAGTGCTTTAGCTGAGATCTGAGGAGTCCGAGGCCTCGGGAGAGTGAGGGAAATGGCTGCTGTGGACAGGGAACTGCCTGTGGGAAGGCCCAGAGAGTCCACAAACCTTGGAACGCTGAGGAGCAATCAGAAGGCCAGTGTGGGAGAGAGGCAGGGGCCAAACCTTGGATTTGATCCCAAGGGCATTGGGCAGTCACACAAAGATTTTAAGCAAGGAAATAATAAGGTCAGATATGTCTTTTAAAACTGTGAACTATGATGTATGTGTGCTTCTCCACGTGGTAGAAAATGTGGAAGCACTTTCCCTGCTGGCCTGCTGGCTACACCCAACAGCAGGTAGGCTCTCCCCTGGGCTGGGCAGGCTAGGAGCCTCGTCTGCAGGGCGCCAGAGTGGCCGAGAGCTTGGAGTCCATTTGTCTGGCATCAGCCCCACTTTAACCTTTTTTTTTTTTTTGGAGAGGTTTTTGCTATAGGATGTGTGCACTCGCCAGAAAGAGAGAGAGAGAGAGAGACAGAAAACGAGAAATCGCTCCTACAGGGGGGATGGCCACGTTGTAATCCCTTCTCCATTCTCCTCTAGGGATCTTGGGTGGGCACGCACATACATGAGTTTAAGCCACTGGGTCCGGGACTCGAACTGTGGTCGACTACATGGGAGTCCAGTGATGTAGCCATTATACCATCTGCTGGTTCCTTTTTTAAAAAATCATTTATTTGTTTATCCATTTATTTGTTCTGCTTTTCAAGCCACCAGGTCTGGGTCTTGAGCCACAGTCGGCCATGTGGGTACCTAGCGCCTCAACCACCATGCCGCCTGCTGGCCCTTAACCAGTTGTTAACTGTGTAACCTTGAGCAAGTGGCTCAAGCTCTCTGAGCATTACTTTACCTGTGAAGTAGAAGTAGATGGGTCGGATTAAAGGCACAGAGCGGCCTCTGGATCTCTGCAGGTAAATGGGACAGTGGTACCGGTCTTAGCTCTGTGCAGAAGCTCTGCAGATCATCAGATTTCTGATCATTAGCAAAGGGTACTGGGAGCACTTCCTGTCCCTTTTACAGCAGCCTGCCTAGGTTCATCTCCAGCACTCCTTGCTCAGATGGGACAGTTGACACACTGTCCTCCATGATGGCCCTTAATCTTTTCCAAGGCGTGGTTCTTGGGTGCCCAAAGTCGGTCTGCACCATTACGGGCCAGGGCAACTGTGTTCAGCTGTTCGTCAAGGCAGTGCTGAGTGCCTGTGTGAGAAGGGGTTAAGACAGAGCATCTCCCTCTGAGTGCACAGGGTAGCTCAGCCAGGCTGCAAGAGAAGGAGGTTCTTGCTTCCTTTGTTCTCGCACTGGTGTCCGTGCAGCCACTGCCCATGAAGTGGTCTAAGGTCCATGTTTAAGTCAGCGACCACGTCTCGAACTGAGTTCTGGAGAGGTACAAGGACGTAGGTTCTGTCTTAAACAGTAGGGATTGTAGCACATCATTCTGTGTTTCTAGGGGGCAAGTTTGCAGGGTGCTAAGAGTAAGTCTGAAAAACGTGTGTATGTGGCAATACATGTTTTAAACACTTGATCACATTCTAGGAATCGCCTCCCAACTTGTTTTCCCTGTCACTCTGTCTTGGACATCTTTCTGTGTCTGCTGTGTAGTATTCTCTTGTACATTCTGTGATTTAACCAAACCTTTCTTACTGTTCTAAACCACGCGAGTTAATGCCTTGCTTCGTATAGACACACACTATTTTTGAGAGAGAGATTTTTGCTATAGGGCATGTGCACTCGCACACCACAATCCCTTCTCCTTCATTCTCCTCTTAGGATTTTGGGCATGCATGCATACGCACCCGGCATGAGTTTGAAGCCACTGGGTCCAGGACTTGAACACTGTTGGCCATGTGGGAGTACAGCGACACAACCATTATGCCATCTGCTGGTCCTTACTATGTTGTTCTTTAAATATAATGTTGCATTAAACATAAGCAATGCTTTGGGTGATGCCAAGGATCTCCTGGCAGCAGGGCACGGATGGACTAGCCAAAACCTCTCCCCTGAGTAATGGGATCCTCTCCTGTTTCCTCTTGACAGGAGGTTGTGTCCAGACATATCCTTCTTCCAGAGGGCCACTGAGTACCCCTGCCTCCTCATCCTGGACCCCCAGAATGAGTTTGAGACCCTTCGTAAGCGGGTGGAACAGACGACGCTGAAATCCCAGACAGTGGCCCGGAACCGGAGCGGGGTCACAAATGTGAGCACCACTGGAGTCCCCAGGACTCTCTCCAACAGCCTTTCCTTCCTCAACCACTGGCCATGGGACATCCAGCCCATGACCATCTGCCCTGACAGATGCCACAGAGCAACCTTCATCCTGCCAGACCAACATCTGGGGCTCTTGCAGAAAGTTGGGTACCAGAGGTCCATTGCATCCAGAGAGGTGTCATCTTGCCAGAGGGCCCCGAGCACAGCAAATGGGCCACACTCCACCTCCAGGTGGAGATGGCTCTGGGAAAGGAATCACAAATGTGGTGAGCCAGTGTGACGGGCTGAGGGGTGGTGATTGATGTGATCTGGCCATCAGAGAAGACCTCCCCAAAGAAGTAACATGTAAGCCGAGGCTCAAAAGATGAGGATTAACCCTTTCAGAGAGAGAGGAGGGTATATGGCAGAGTCCTCAGGCAGGAGGGAGTGTGGGGAGGCATGAATGGCTAGAGATGGAGCGAGGAGAGGAGAAGGTGCTGGAAATGCAGGAGAGCGCCGCTGGGGAGGCCTTGTGGGGCCCTTGTCATGAGGGCTGGGGAGTGTTCTAAGCTGGCAGTGATGGGACTCCGGTCTGCTTTTGTAGGATGGCTTTGGGCACTCTAGGGATCTAGGGATGAGGTGGAAAGGCCACCTGGGAGGTAGCTGCAGTAAGCAGACGAGAGGTGGTGGTGGCTGGTATTACATGGAACTGAGAGACTCTGGAGGTGGCATTGACAGTGCTTGTACTGGGCAAGTCATGCTGCTGTTTGAACCCCAGCCTTCTAGATTCCTGTAATCGAGAAGCTGCTTGTAGCCACACAAGTGTTCCCTAATTTACACCTCTGCTTTGTACTGGGAACTGTGGCTTGTTCCCCCAAACGTCATTGTCCTCCATAGCATCCCCCAGGCTAGAGGCAGGCTAGAAGATTTTTCCCCTAAAGGAGTGTCTTTGATCAAGGCTCTGGCAGAGGTGACAGGCAGGTACAGCCGATCCCAGGGTTCCATGTGCCTAACACACAGCTGGGTGTCCAGCTGAGCTGCCTGAGGAGCAGACTGCCCGATGACATAGCCACGGCTCGCTCAGTGGACAGCCCTCCAGCTGGGCTGCCAACTTCTGGCTGGAGGGCCAGGTGGGGACTGGCTCCCCTCATGCCTTTCACTAAGGTAATTGGGGTGTGAGGGCCAAGCATTCAGTTTTGGCCCCAGCCCTGGTGGGAGAGGACCCATCAGACACTTCGTGCCTAGACCTTTGGATCTGAAATTGAGTGGTTTGAGTTAAAGCTGACTGTCTATGTGTGTGTCTCTGGCCAGGTAATGCCAAGCTCTCATTCCTGGGCCTCTGGTTACTTTTCCATTAACTGGGCATCGCTATTTCTGCCCTGTCTGCTGTTTGGATTGCCAGGAGGATGAGATGAGGTCAGGGCTGCCAGATTTTCAGAAAGCTGGAAAGCTCTGGGTTTCCTCAAGCCTGCCCTGGAGGCCTCGGTTCTGCAGTCAGCCAATCTAGGTTCAAGTCGCAGTGCCCCCACTTAATGTGAGACATTTAGTGACCAAATATTTCTGAGCCTTAGTTTCCTCATTTTGAAAGTGATGTTGACAGAACATCATGGTTCAGAGGGCTAAGTGGAGGAATGCTTGTACACAGAAAGCTCTCTGTAAATGTTACTGAGGTACGTGTCTGTGCGTGTGCACACGGATATATATGTATACAGTATGCCCGTACGGTCATCAGTTGTGTAGTGATAGGGTACGTTCCGAGAAGTGCATTATTGGGCAGTGTCCCTGCGTGGGCATCGTGAAGTGGACCCATGCAAACCTAGATGGCAGAGCCTACTGTGCTTCTAGGCCACATGGTATAAAAACTCAGGGGACCATTGTGTTATGGACTATCGCTGACCAAACTGTCACTGCACAGTACATGACAGTAAACAGTGGGGAAAGGAGCTGATGTCCCCAAGACCCTACGATTCCAGGACAGCTTGATACACTGTCCCTGTCTTGGCTTTCTCATCGGGTAACCCATCCCTGCAACTTCTGATTGAGCGGGTCTAGGACAGAGCCCAGGCCCCTGGGTCTTCACTACATTCCTGAGGATCCTGGCGTTGGTATCCTTGCCTTGTATGAGTCCTTTTTAGGGGCTGTCATCTATTTCTCTCCCAGTCCTTTTTTATGAAAACTTCGAAGCATTCAGAAAAGTTGGAAGAAGAGTGCGAGCTTCCCACCTATGTGCAGTAATAGTCGACAGCTTGTCATGTCGCTGCGTGTGTGTGTGTGAGAGAGAGAGAGAGAAAGGGAGGGAAAGTGACAGATGCCTGGAGCAGGAATCTCCTGGGAAGAGCAATAATCCCATAGTATCACCTAATACCCACTCCACGGTCAGCGAGATCAATGGAGACATCCTTTGTTATACCAAAAATAGCTGTTTTATTCCAAACCAGCATCCAGTCGCGGTGTGTGCCTCACATCGGGATGTCGTGTTTTTTTGGTTTCTTGTTTGGGACAAGCTTTCATTCCCCCCACCTCACCACCACTCCTAACAGTTGATGTTTTGAAGAGTTTTGACCAGTTACCTGTTTTTGACATACTTAAAAGTTTTTTGTTCTAAACTGAAGTGTAACTGGGCCAGCCAGGTGGTGTGGTAGTTAAAGTGCTAGATCCCACATGGCCGACTGTATAGTTTGAGTCCTGGACCCTGCAGCTTGGAAAACACCCAAGTGCCCGTGTGTGTGTGTGTGTGTGTGTGTGTGTGTGTGTGTGTACCCAAAATCTTGAGAATGGAGGAGGGATTGCAGCATTGTTTTCCCCCTGCTAGGGGGTACCTTCTCATTTTCCCTCTCTCTATCTCTCACATGAGAGCACACATCCTATAGCAAATTAAAAACTAAGAAAAATGGGACCAGCAGTTAGCATAATGGCTACGTTGCTGGACTCTCATGTAGCCAACCACATTTCGCATCCCGGACCCGGTGGCTTAAACTCACGCCGGGCGCGTGTGCATGTGTACCCAAGATCCCGAGAGGAGAATGGAGGAGAAGGGATTGTGGTGTGGCCATCGCCCCTGGGGGGGGTGATTTCTTTTTTCTTTTTTTTTTTTTAGAGGTTTTCACTATAAGGGCACGTGCGCTCGCCAGACAGAGAGAGACATAGAGACAGAAAGCGAGGAATCTTTTTTCACACCGCAGTTCCTTCTCCTCCATTCTCCTCTCGGGGTCTTGGGCACACACGCACACGCACCTGGCTTGAGTTCTAAGCCACCGGGTCCGGGACGCGAACCGCGGTCGACTACGTGGGAATCCAGCGACATAGCCATTACGCTAACTGCTGGTTCCCCCTGGGGGGTGATTTCTCACTTTCTGTCTCTCTGTCTCTGTCTTTCTGGTGAGCACACGCGCCCTGTAGTAAAAACCTCTCCTAAAAAAAAGAAAACTAAGAAAAATGGAAGTGTCACTTAAATGCAGTAAAATGTACAGATTTACACATTTTAAGTATACAGCTAGGTTATTTTTTCTCCTGTGTGTGCACCTGTGTTATTGCCAGGCATTATATCCAGAAAGGTCCTCCCACCTCTGCCTAGTCAGTCCCCTGTTCTCAGAGGTGACTGCTATTCAGACCTTCGTCCCCGTCGAGCTTGTCTGCTCCTCTGTACAGCGCCCCACGTTCTGGACCTGTCTCCTTGTTTGCTCATGGCGGTGCTGGGCACAATCCTGCGTTTTCTATACGCTGGAAGTTCAGTCCAAGTTTAATGGTGAACATCTCGTCAAGAACACATTATTGTCTTTTTTTTTTTTTTTTTAAAGGTTCTTGCCATAGGGCTTGTGTGCTTGCTGAGAGACAGAGAAAGGGACGGTGAGAAATCACCTCCCAGGGGGATAGCTACACCACACTCCTGTCTCCTCCATTCTCTTGGGATTTGGGGCATGCAAACATACGTGCATTTTTAAGCTACTAGGTCTAGGACTTGAATGACAGTCAGCCATGTGGAAATCCAGCTCCTTAACCACCCTGCCACCTGCTGGCCCCACATTGTCCCTAACAGGCTGCTCCTCATCTCCCCTAGATGAGCTCCCCCCACAAGAACTCTGCACCACCATCCCTGAATGAGTATGAGGTGCTGCCCAACGGCTGCGAGGCCCACTGGGAGGTGGTAGAGCGAATCCTGTTCATCTACGCCAAGCTCAACCCTGGCATCGCATACGTGCAGGGCATGAATGAGATCGTCGGGCCCCTCTACTACACCTTTGCCACCGACCCCAACAGCGAGTGGAAAGGTAAAAGGGCTCTTGGCTGCTCACAACCCCCATGGCTAGCTCCCTAGAAAAATGGACCAAGGCAAGCCAGGCTGAGGGGCCACATCAGGCTGTACGGATCTCTTCCCCTCGGGGCCTCCATTCTCCCTGTCACATGAGGCCTCGGCCTGGGTCATCTCTGAGATCCTTTGTGGCTCTGACCTTTGGGAATGTTGGATGTTTACTGATGTCTTGGATTCGTATTTGATTTTTGGTATGACGTGTATATGTAGGAAGCTGAATGATAAGTTTTGAATACTGATTTGAAAATATCATCAGGAGAACATGTAAGAAATTATTGGGTGAGCATATCATGTTGCCAGAGATGCCAGAAGAATGTGGCACTGTCCTGAGTCTCGGGGTGGAGAGTGGTCGAGGACAGGAAGGACTGACCTCGAGGGTGGGGCACATGGTGAGGCTCAGAGGTGGGGAGCAGTGGGGTGGGATTTGAGGGCACACCACCTGTGTGTCTTCCCACACGCTGCTGCTTTTCCCAGAACATGCTGAGGCAGACACCTTTTTCTGCTTCACCAACCTCATGGCTGAGATCCGGGACAACTTCATCAAGAGCCTAGATGACTCTCAGTGTGGCATCACCTACAAGATGGAAAAGGTGTATTCCACCTTGAAGGATAAGGACGTAGAGCTCTACCTGAGACTGGTGAGGAGCTCGGCCACATGGGCAGGGCAGGTGGGTGGAAAGGGGAAGAGGACAGCAGGTTCCAGAGCAACCCAGGTCCAGGGAGCAGTCAGGCTTGCGTCAGAGTTGAGTGGCTGCTGGCAGAAAGGAGATGAGAACCGTGCCCACTGCGTGCCAGGGAGAGGGCAGGGCACTTGCCATATGCTAGGTTATCAAAGCCTGTTATAAGTGGTCTTCTGAGGTGAGAAGTAAAAACTTGAGAGTTAACTTTTAAAATTATTGTATGGGGCCAGCTGATGGCATGGTGGTTAAGGTGCTGGATTCCCATATGGCTGACCATGGTCCAAGATTTGAACTGGGGTCAGCCATGTGGAAGTCCAGCCACTTTAACCACCGCACCACCTACCAACCCCCATCTTGCTCTTCTCTAGCGTACCCACCGAGTGATACTGTGACTGGCCAGGAGCCTCATCTCTGCTGGGCTACTGGTCTTGGAGTGTCGTGGGGATTGAGTGAGATGAAGTATTTAACGTTCTAAGCACATGACCAGGGTTATAGTGAGTGCCTGGTGACGGTCACTCGGCATGTCCGTAAATCAGTGTTTTACTTTTAAAAAAATTGTCTAGAGGCTGTGTGTGCTCACCAGAGAGACTAGGAATAAGGCGTGAGAAATCGCTCACCAGGGATGGTCCCGCTGCAGTCCTGCCTCCACTTCTCCCACCTTTTGGGATTTGGGGCATACACACAGATATTCACGTGTTTTTCAAGCTGCCGGGTCTGGGACTCAAACAGTGCAGTCAGCTGTGTGGGATCCAGCTGCCTTAACCTCCATGCCACTGGCCGGCCCCGCAGTGTTTTAGAATTTGAGCCATAATTTCTAAATCTGGGGAGCTTAGGTAAAAGCCTAGGTGTCTGACTTGTCTTGAAAAGTTGGAAGATCTGATGGCCGGCTGACAGCAAGCAGCACTCCTCCTTGAACTGAGCCGGGCCGTATGTGCTGGCCCAGTGCCACCCTTAGGGTGCCTGGCACTCACGCTGGCCTGTGCGTCCTCGGTGTTAGGTCCCGGGCCCTGCTGTTCCTCTGAACTCACATCTAGTGGCCTCACAAGGCAGCCAGCAACAGAAGCTCTCGCTCCCTCCCTCCCGCCCCCCAGCAAGAGCAGAACATCAAGCCCCAGTTCTTCGCCTTCCGCTGGCTGACGCTGCTGCTGTCCCAGGAGTTCTTGCTGCCTGATGTCATCCGTATCTGGGACTCCCTCTTCGCTGATGACAACCGCTTTGACTTCCTCCTGCTGGTCTGCTGTGCCATGCTCATGTGAGTGTGACCGCAGCCTGGCACGGCTCACCTGGCCAGGTCTGAGGAGAAGGGGTGATGGGGAGGCCCCGTAGCCCTGCAGGGTAGGCAGTGCTCCTCTCACATGGTGGTGAGCTGGCCACATTCTCCAGAGTGCACTGGTGCACAGGTGCCTAGGTGTGACGTGTGACATGTGAGGAAGGAGCAGGAAGGGGTCCGACTGGACCTGCTCAGCCCCCAGGTCCCAGCGTGTGGCTGCTTATTTTCTGCAGACTGATCCGGGAGCAGTTGCTGGAAGGGGACTTTACTGTGAACATGCGGCTCCTGCAGGTAAGGGCAGCTTGGCGGGGCAAGCCTGGTCCCACAAGGCAGACACCACGCTCCCACCAAGCCAGCTGCTGTGACAAGCTTACGTCTGGACTGACAGCATAGCCGGGTGGAGAGTCCAGACCCCTGAGGCACATCTCGTTTGAATATGGGTTTGAGTCCTGGCTCTACCACTGACCTTGAGTGCCATGTGGCTTTGAGCGAATGGCATGACCTCTTAAAACCAAGTGTCCCACGGTAGTCAGCTATCCTGGCTGCAGCAATACCCACACGTGGCCATGCTTGCTGATGGCCATGCTCAACCTGGGGCAGGAGGCATGGAACAGTGGTCAAGAATATGACTTGGGACCAGCAGTTAGCGTAATGGCTATGTCGCTGGACTCCTATGTAGTCAACCGTGGTTCGCGTCCCAGACCTGGTGGCTTAAGACTCACTCCGGGCGCATGTGTGTGCGTGCCCAAGCTCCCAAGAGGAGAATGGAGAAGGGATTGCAGTGTGGCTATCCTCCCAGGGGGGTAATTTCTCGCTTTCTGTCTCTTTGTGTCTCTCTGGAGAGCGCACATGCCCTGTAGCAAAAACCTCCCCCCCAAAAAGAAAAAGAACATGGCTCAATGGGACTAGCAGGTGGCGTGGCGGTTAAGGTGCTGGACTCCCACATAGTCAGTGGTTCAAGTCCCAGACCTAGAGGCTTGAAACTCATGCCCGGCATATGTGTGTGCATGCCCAAAATCCCAGGAGGAGAATGGAAGAGAAGGGATTGCGGTGTGGACACTCCCCCTTGGAAGTGATTGCTCACTTCCTGTCTCTGTCTCTCCAGTGAGAGCACATGCCCTATAGCAAAAATATCTCAAACACAAAGAACCTGGTTCAAGGGCGGGACAGCTCTGGGTTCACATCTTTGTTTTGCTGCACTCGCCACATAACCTGAACCAGGCACGACCTCTTTAGACCTCAATGTCTGGCCCAGGATTTTGCTGACATCAGTGATCAGACCTGTAAAAACAGGCAGAAGCACAAGGACCCCCACACAATGTGAGGTGCCTCAGCAAACTAATTCAGGTCCGTCCCTGCCAGCAGTAGGCCTGGTGTGACTGGAACTTGGTTCAATGGCAGGAGATGGGGAGCAACGAGGCGGGGTGGTCCTGGTCCCACGGAAGGGGCGGTGTGACCTTTTGGATGGCTCTGTTCTGGCTAAGTCAGTGCTGCAGCACTGTGACATTAGCTACATGTGGGGTTGCAGCAGGATGCACAGATGGCCGGTCTTCTGTGGTCCCTGCTGCCAAGGCCCAGGGTCCAGTGTGTGCTGCGGCACTGGGGGAGGCTGTGGGCATGGCAGAGGCAGCAGGGGTGAGCTGGCTGCAGATATACCGTTGGCTTTTCCATGCCTAGGACTACCCCATCAGTGATGTCTGCCAGATTCTACAGAAAGCCAAGGAACTCCAAGACTCGAAGTAGCCTGGTTTGGGGAAGAAGCCACTCCAGCCCTGTGCCCTGGCTTCCAGGACATGCAGAAGCCTTTGGGACCCCCAGCCTGAGGGGAATCAGCACATCAGCCTGCCCAGGCCTCCTGCCCTGGCCCTGCAGCCAGGGCAGCTCCTGCTGGGGCACACCATGCTGTGCCCCACCTGACCACAAGCCCTGGCGCCCTCACACTTCAGCCCTGCCGCCCTGTGCCCAGGCTGCCAAGTAGAGGAGGAAGCTGTTTCCTGGGCACCGGGAGGCTGCAGGGGTCTCCCCGCCCACTCCTGCTCTGCTGCTTTCCTGTTTCCTGCTTCCGGTCTCCTGGTACTGGCTAGGGATGCATCTAGCACATGGCCCAGAAAACACCACTAGGGGTTGGTGCTTAGGCTTCTCCGTGGGAAAGGGACACTGAAGGAGCTGCGTGGCTGCTGGGTCCAGGTCACGTCCTCTGCCTCCCACTGAGAGTGTGTCTTCCCTAGTTGGTGTGCGCGTGTCCCTGACCCCCCAGGTGTCTTTGCTTCACCTTCCTGTGTGTGCGTGAGGGTGTCTGCACCCTCCAGCTCTCTGCCTGTCCTCTGTGTCTCCCTCCCAGCCTGTCTCCCTCCTGCCCTTTCACAGAGGGCGTGTGGCTCTCGCTTATATGTCCCCTCCATCATCTCCCTCTGCCCTCCCCTCTCGGGTGCCTTAGACTGAGTCTCTTCCTCTCTCTCCTGCACTCTCTTCAACCCAGAAGACGAATGAGGAGTTCAGCTCAGCAAGTCCCTAGAGGTCAACTTGGCTTTTGCATCCTGTTCCCATCCCCCAGCCTGAGGCGCCCAGCTACCCCAGGCTGGGAAAGAGTCCACAGTGCCTCATTAGAGGACCCTGGACCAGCTCCTCAGCAGAGATCGTGGGAACCAAGAGCCGCTGAGGAATGCTGGCCCTGGAACTTTGAGCCTCTTGTCCCCGCTTTGTGCTAGGGAGGGAGAAGAGTGGGCCTTCCCAGAGGCTCCCCCAAAAGCCTCGCTGTTCCAAAAGAGAAGGACACTAACGCGGTTTTGCACTAGGGCTCTGAAGCCAGTGCTTCGGTCCTAGTCCTGGGCAGGGGAGTCACACAAAGGGAGGTGGGACCAAAGGGGACCTCCATGGGGCCAGGTGGGTCCTGTCTGTGCCCGAAGGACTATGTCTGTGCCTTTGTGTGCCCACTGCTTAGCAGGCCCTAGGGAGGTGCTGGTCCTTCTCTTGGCACTCCCAGCAGGAGCAGCTGACTACCCCCAGGCCTAGAAGGGCGGGTGTACACTGACTAAGTCCTAAGTCCCTTCGTCCCCAGTGAGGAGGGCAGGCAGTTTGGGTTTGGCAGGCTGAGGCCTGCACCTGGTCCTTGGCCTCTCCACAGGCTGACCAGAGGGAGCCAAGCCCCAGCAGCCTCGGCGTCCCCCACAGGTTCCCTGAGCCCAGCAGGCAGGACTTGCTGCCCTCTTCCCCATGTGGCTCTGATCAGGCCACACCCCTGATGCTGGGACTTCCTGCACATGCCTTCTGCCTCCTTCATTCCACCCTACAGTACTGGAAGTTTTTATTTATTCAGATTGCTGGCTATTTATTGCTGATTGGCAAGTGCTTTGGGGACGATGGGGCTGGGGAGGTAGGAAGGAAGGAGTGGGGACTTGGTCCTCCTGATTCCCCAGGGCCCAAGTCAGTACCCTCGCCCTTGCCTTTGGGATCTTCCTGGTTTCCTAGCAGGTGGTGGTTTGGAGGGTCAGCTTTGGAACTGAGTGCAAGGGAAGCGGGAGCTGGTGCCCTTGCCCATCTCGAAGACTCCTGGGCAAGGCAGTTACTGCTCCCACTAGGCTGGCCTGCTCTCTACCTGGAACTTGCCAGCTGGTGGCGCAGCCCCAAATTTGACTCCTTTACAGCCTGAGGCTTGGGCCACTGCCTGGCACCCAGCAGACACTGCCCAGGACCCCACGATGCATTCCCTCTTGCCCGTCCCCACCTGCCCTCCTGGACCATACTACTTGAATCACTGTGTTTGATTTGCCACAGTGGCAGAGCTGGGTCCAGTGGCCTCTGCTTGACCTTAGATGAAGGTCAAGAGCCCAGGGACCACATCTTGGTTAGATGACTCCCCACTGGGACACTGCCTGCCGGAGGAATGGACCTGCCCTTGGCAATCCCCCACCCCATATTCTGCAGGAAGGTCCCCACAGAGCCAGAGTGCCTGAGGCTTCCTGCATGAGAAGCTGCCCTCGGACTGTGGGCACTCACGGACTGAGTGGACGGGTCAGCAGGTCTCCCCTCAGAAGGTGAAAATTGTAGTCTGCTTTTCTTTCCTTTTTTTTTTTTTAATCTCTTTTGTTCCTCAAATCACTGCTGTTGATGCGTTGTCTTTAATAAATCATGTGTTCTTTGCAGTGGGCATTGGTGCTGTGATGGGCTGAGACCTTTGAGGCCTGGGAACAAGGAAATCGGTTTGAGTAGGGATGGAGTCGCAGTCTCTTCTTAAAGTGGTCTGAGAAACAGGCCTGGAAGCCCTTGCTGGGGGCCAGCTCTGCTGAGTCAGCCGTGTGCCATGTGCCATGGCCCAGTGGCCAGAGAGCCATCACATGCAATTACACAGCAAGTTGGTTTTTTTTTTTGGAGAGGTTTTCGCTATAGGGCGCATGCGCTCGCCAGACAGACAGAGAGAGAGAGAGAAAGTGAGAAATCACCCCCCAGGGGGGATGGCCCCACCGCAATCCCTTCTCCATTCTCTCGGGATCTTGGGCATGCACGCACATGCGCCCGGCATGAGTTTTAAGCCACCGGGTCCGGGATGCGAAGCGCGGTCGACTACATGGGAGTCCAGCGACATAGCCATTACGCTAACTGCTGGTCCCACAGCAAGTTAGTTTTTAGACTTGAGAAAATGGACTCTCATGTAGCTGACTGCAGTTTGAGTCCTGGACCTGGTGGCTTAAACTCACACTGAACGCATGTGCATGTGTGCCCAAGATCCCAAGAGGAGAATGGAGGAGAGGGGATTGTGGCATGGCCATCCCCCTGGGGGGTGATTTCTCACTTTCTGTCTCTCTCTGGCGAGTGCACATGCCCTATAGCAAAAAAACTCTCAAAAAAAAAAAAGAGAACCAAGACCATCTCATTAGGCGCAGAAAAGAATTTGGCAAAATTCAATATCTTGCTATAACAACTCTCAAATTAGGGTTAGAGGGGATGAATCTCAAGCCAGTAAAAGCATATGTGATCAGCTCACAGCTAACAACTCCCTTTTGAGAAGTGGAAAGCCTTTCCTCTGAGATCCGGAATCAGGCAGGGATGCGCACTCACCACTTCTCTTCACCTGTGAGTCCCAGCCAGTTACTAAGCAAGAGAAACAGAAGGCATGCAAATAGAAGAGTCACGCTTTTTCTTTGCAGATGTATAAACAAAATCCTAAAGATTCCACCAAAGAACTGTTAGAATGAAAAATAAAATACTGGGAACCAGCAGTTAGTGTAATGGCTATGTTGCTGGACTCCCACGTATTCGACCGCGGTTCACGTCCCGGACCCGGTGGCTTAAAACTCATGCCGGGCACGTGTGCGTGCATGCCCAGGATCCTGAGAGGAGAATGGAGGAGAAGGGATTGCAGCGTGACCATCCCCCTCGCTTTCTGTCTCTATGTCTTTCTCTGTCTGGCAAGCACACGCGCCCTATAGCGAAAAACCTCTCCAAAAATAAAAACAAACAAATAAATAAATAAATAAATAAAATACTGACCCCACCTCTGCTTGGGAAGCCAAAGTCCACATGGGGGTCCTGGGTCTGGTTCCTGGGCCAACCCGAACACACCAGGTATACTTGTGCATGCCTGTATCCCTGGCTCTTTGTGAGGCTGGTACAGGGAGATTGCAACATTGGAAGAAGAACCCTGTCAAAAACGCCTATGTTAGACTAGCCCTGGGCTGGTGGTAAGGCTACTGGGTCCCATGTGGTGACCATGCAATTCTAGTCCTGATCCCAGCAGCTTTGAAATACACTAGGTGCATTAGTGTGCATGCCCAAAATTCCAAAAGGAGGGAGAGAGGACAATGGGTTAAGATGTGACCATTTCCCATGGGAGTGCTTTCTTGCTCCCCCTGCCTCTCTGTTGCTGATGAGTGCACATGCCCTGTAACAACTTAAAAGAAATTAAAAACCTGGGACCAGCAGATGGTGTAATTGTTACATCATTGGACTCCCTTGTAGTTAACTGCAGTTTGAGTCCTGGACCTAGTGGCTTAAAATTCACACCAGGTGCGTGTGTGTGCAATCACAAAACCCCAAGAGGAGGGGACCAGCAGGTGGCATGGTGGTTAAGATGCTGGACACTCCCACATGGCCAACCACGGTTCAAGTCCCGGACCTAGCAGCGCTTCCTTTTTCCCTTTCTGTGTGTGTGTGTGTGTGTGTGTGTGTGTGTGTGTGTGTGTGTGTATGTCTGGTCAAATTAAATAAATGAATGAAATATAAAATAAATAATAATTAAGGAAAAGAAAAAAAAAAAGAAGGGATTGTGGTGTGGCCATCCCCCCTGGGGGTGACTTCTTGCTTTCTGTCTCTCTGGCGAGTGCATGTGCCTTATAACAAAAACCTAAAAAAACAAAAAAACAAACAAACAAAACACTAAATAGCAAAAACCTCAAAAAAAAAAAAACCACTAAACTAAAAAAACTCTGTCTCTCCCTCTCTTCATTTCTCATAAAGGAATAAAATAAAATGCTTAGTAATGGGGGCTGGCAAGTGGCGTGGTGGTTAAAGTACTGGACTCCCACATGGCTGACCACAGTTCAAGTTCCAGACCTGGTGGCTTGCTTTCTCACTTCCCTCTCTCTCTCTTTGGTCAAATTAAAGAATAATAATGATAATACAAAATAAATAATTCTTTTAAAAAATTAGGAACAAATTTAACCAGGAAAGAAAAGACCTGTACACTGAAAACTATTAAGACTTCAATGGAAAATTGAACAGGACATAAATAAATATTGGGAATATAGTCTATGTTAATGTATCAGAAAAATTAATATTGTTAAAATATCCATGAGCTATCCAAAAATTATCTATAAATTCAGTATGACCCCTATCAAAATCCCAGTCATTTTTCAGTGGAAATAGAAGAAACCTAAAATTCAAATAGGCCTACAAGATAGCCAAGGCAGTGTTGAGCAAAAGGAGGAAAACAGGCCAGCAGGTGGCGCTGAGGTTAAGGCACTGGCTCCCACATAGCCCACTGTGCAGTTTGTGTCCGGGACCTGGTGGCTTGGAAATCACACCAGCTGGAACCGGCAGGTGGCGTAATGGCTATGTCGCTGGACCCATGTAGTCGACTGTGGTTTGAGTCCCGGACCCAGTGGCTTAAATTTACACTAGGCACATGTGCATGTGTACCCAAGATCCCAAGAGGAGAATGGAATAGGGATTGAGGTGTGGCCATCCCCCATGGGGGGGTGATTTCTCGCTTTCTATCTCTCTGTCTGTCTCTCTTTCTGGCGAGCACACGCACCCTGTAGGAAAAACCTCTCCAAAAAGGGGGCCCGCAGGTGGTGTGATGCTTGAAATGCTGGACTTCCACATGAACCTGGCCCTCTCACTCTCCCTCTCACTCCCTGGTCAAATTGAATAATAATAAATTAAATCAAATCAAATTAAATTAAATAATTCTAAAAAAAAAAAATTGGCAAGGGGGCCAGCAGTTGGCGTGGAGAAGATGGCTGTCCCACATGGTCAAGTGTATAGTAGTTCAAGTCCTGGATTTGGCAGCTTGAAAAACACGCCAGGTGTGTGCATGCCCAAAATCCCTAGAAAGGAATAGAGGAGAAGGGGGTGTGACATGGCCAGCCCCCTGGGGGAGATGCTTTCTCACTTTCTCTCCCAGTGAGTGCATACACCTTATAACAACAACAACAACAACAAATAGAGGGCAAGGGACTTGAACATACATTGCTCAAAAGAAGACATCTGGGACCAGCGGTTAGCGTAATGGCTATGTCGCTGGACTCCCATGTAGTAGACCGTGGTTCGAGTCCCGGACCCAGCAGCTTAAACTCACGCTGGGCGTGTGTATGTGCATGCCCAAGATCCCAAGAGGAGAAAGGAGGAGAAGGGATTGTGGCATGGCCATCCCCCCTGGGGGGTGATTTCTTGCTTTCTGTCTCTCTGTCTCTGTCTGTCGGGCGAGCGCACGCGCCCTATAGCAAAAACTTCTCAAAAAAAAAAAAAAAAAAAGACAGCTAAAGGAGCTTTGAAAGCCCATAGAATATGGGATTAACATAGTTGTTTATTTTGGTGCAAAATTTTTGAAATGTATTCATAGATTTTTTTTTTGTAATACACATTTTTCATGAACTTAAAAAAATGTCATTAATTGTGTAAGAGACTTTTGCTATAGAGCACGTGTGCTCGCTGGAGAGACAGAGAGACAGAAAGTGAGAAATAACCTCTCTTCTCCTTCATTCTCTTCTTGGGATTTTGGGCATGTACAAAACACACACCCGGCGTGAGTTTCAGGCCACTAGGTCCAGGACTCAGACAGAGGTCAGCCATGTGGGAGTCCAGTGACGTAAGCATTACACCATCTGCTGGTCCCTCCATGAACTTTCTGAAACTCCCTCACACAAATGGCAGGCAGATGTGTGAAAAAAGGTTCCCTGTCACTGATCATCAGGAAAATGCCAGTTAAAGGCACAGTGACCTATCACCTCGCACCTATCAGAAAGGCTGTTACTAAAGACGAAAGTGTTGGCCAGGATGTGGAGAAAAGGGCACTTTGGGCTGGCAGATGATGGCATGGTGGTTAAGGGCCCTGGACTCGCATGTGGCCAATTGCGGTTCAAGTCCCGGGCCTGGCAGTTTGCTTTCTTACTTTCCCTCTGTCTCACACTCTGTCCTTCCCTTGTCAAATTAAACTAAACAAACAAATAAATAAAAAGTGAAATAAGATTAAAAATAAAAGGAAAGAAAGAAAAGGGCACCTCGTATACCATTGGGAAAATTCATTAGGACAGCCTTTGTGGAAAACTGGTTTCCTCAGAAAACTAGAAGTATTTCCATGTGGTCCAGCAACCTTACTTGTGGGTTGTGCTAGTCTGTTCTGTTGCTAACGACAGAAGATCATTGCAATTGGATGGACACAGAGAGGTTCATTCAGCTCAAGGTCTGGAGGTCCTAGGCCAGAGACCACATCTGATGGGGGTCTTGCAGAGTACTGAGGGACCCCATGAGATGAGGACAAGAGTGGGCCAGAGTTCTGTGCCTGTCATTCCTGACCAACCCAATGGGACTCCGTCCCGGGGCCCCACCATGATGCCTAATCACCTCTCAAAGGTCTTACCCTTCACTACCGTAATCACATTAAATTTTCACCCCCTGAATCCCAGTACAATTTCTCACCAGATTTTAACA